TGAACTACAGAGGAAGGGGAACAGTCGCAGGGGGTAAAAGGGGTTGGTGCGTGTGGATGAACTTCAAATTTTTTTGAAGTTGGGTTGCTTAAAGAGGCTGGCCCGTCCTATGCTGATGTGGCTAAAAGGGGTAAGGTTCAGGTGAGCTCAAAGTCATTGTCTAAACCGGTTTTAAGGAAGGCTGGGTCGGATGGGTCAATGGGGTGGGGCAAGCATCAGGTGGTTTTTTTAAAAGCCCACGTGACAACTTAAGTCATAACATAGGACGGGGCAGGCATGGGGCGATGATAGATGGCAACATTCATCTATCATCATCTAGGTCTTGCCCTCTCGACTATGAAGGGGCTCAGATGGTGAGCAAGGCAGAAGAACGTCGTCCTCTATGCTGGGCCCAACGGCCGGCCAGCAACGCACAAAAACACAACGTTTCTGATCGCCCGAACCCACACTATTTGAGAGTTAGACAAAAGAGAAGGAAGAGGCTGACCAAGGTTGGATAAGTTGTGGCTTAGATTATGACTATGATGAAAGATCGGAAGCCTGTGGGAGTTTAGGCAGTGCGGCAGACAAAGCTCTATCTGAAGAACAGAACAGGGATTCTTTCAACCTGGATTGTTTGTTCATAGGGGATTCAATGGGGGAGGAGCGGGTGAATGATCTTAACCCAAATTTGGCTGAGCCCTTCCATAGTTCTAGCGCTTTGCAAAAGGCTGAAAAGGAGATAGCTCGAGTCATCTCAGAGCTGAACAAGGGTACCTCACAGAGAGGTACATACTTGGTTACAAAAAGGGGTCTTTGTGTTGATACAGCGACAGGGATTTTCTTCCCCCAACTCGGGGAGACAGAGTGCTCTAATTTCTCAAAAATGGAAGTGACTACCACTCCTTCGCCTACGCTCTCTCCTCACATCTCTGCCTCAAGTAAATCCCTCAACTCTATCAATTCAGTTTTGGCTACTAATGAGCGCTCTGTGTCCCTTGTTTCAGATTCTCCTCCCAACCAAGAGTCGGAAGCCCTTGATCTGAAAGCCACAATGCGTCCACAAGGGGGAGAAGTGGGTGAGAAAACTTGCAAAGAGAAAAAAATACGGAAAATCATGAAGAGCCTTTTGGGTGAAGTGGAGAGGAAGGAAATGCAGAGAGGGAGCATGGAGGGGACAGAAAGGGTTGTTGTTGGAGGTAATGTGAGAAGGAATGAGAAGTTTACTAGGAGTGAGGAAAGTGCAACTTTAGAAAAAGAGGAAACTAGTGGGGAAGAGTCAGTTGCAGAGTTTGTGAAAAAGTTGGGGTGCAAGCTGAAGAACCCGAATGATCTAAAAGCCTACATGCAAAAAAAATAGGACAGCAAGATGAAGAAGAGAAAGCTGAGTGAAGTGGAGAGATTGAAAAGAGATATTGAGGGGGACAAGAAGTTTGAGGTGAAATGGGATAGAAGAAAAGGTTTGAGACAAGGGGATCCCTTATCTCCTCTCCTATTTTTAGTAGTAATGGAAGGACTCAGCGGAATGGTGGACAAGGTTGTGGAGTTGAACCTGTTGGAAGGTTTTGAAGTCAGCCCAAATGGTACTTCCATTCCAATCTTGCAGTATGCTGATGACACTTTTTTTTTCTGCAAGGCCTCGGAGGATCAAATTCTGAATTTAAAGCACCTCCTGTTTTGATTTGAAATTGTTTATGGGTTAAAGGTGAACTTAGCAAAAAGTGAAATGATAGCAGTGGGGGAAGTGTCGAACATTCAGAATTTGGCTGAGCTATTGGGCTGCAAAGTAGGACTTTTACCCACAAGCTACTTGGGGCTGGCTACATGGAAAGCTATGTATCTTTCCAAAGGAGGGAAGGTAACTCTTCTAAAGAGTGTCCTAGCCAGCCTGCCTACCTATTTTTTGTCTCTTTATCCAATCCCTTCGGAGGTGGTGAAGGCATTAGAAAAAAAAAAGAAAAAGATGAGAGATTTTCTGTGGAGGGATTGGAAAGCCTCACATAAGTACCATCTAGTGAAGTGGGGGCAAATATAAAAACCCTACTCACAAGGAGACTTGGGGATAATAGATCTAAAAATCCTTCAACTTAGCTTTGTTAGGCAGCTGTCACTGACAGTTTTATGCAGAACCGGATAACCTGTGGAGGAAGGTAATAGCTGAGAAATTTGGGCTGGACAGTAATGGTTGGGAGTGCAGTCCCCCTCCTTCAACTTATGGTTGCAGCCTTTGGAAAGGAATTTGTAGAGCTAACACCAACTTCAGACAGGATATCAGGTTCAAAATAGGAGATGGCAAAAGGATCAGATTTTGGCTAGACCCTTGGACTGGGGAGAGGTCCCTTAAAGAGATGTTTCCTACTTTGTTCAACCTGGCAGCTGACAAAGAGGTGCTGGTAGCCGATTCTTTCGTAAAGAGGGGAGAGAACATTTGCTGGAACCCATCCTTCAGAAGGGATTTTAATGACTGGGAGATTCAACAGATAGGGGATCTTCTAACTCTGCTTCAAGATCAGATTCCGAACTTGAAAAGCCAGGATTCAAGAGTGTGGAAATGGGAGAATTCAGGAGTATTCTCAGTTAAATCCTTCTACAGATATTTAGTAGGTAGAAATGGTACATGTTTTCCCAGCCGGGTCATTTGAGGGACAGTGACACCCATGAAAGTTAAATTTTTTGCTTGGGTGGCAGTTTTAGAGAAGTGCCTAACAAAAGAAATGCTGTTGAAGAAAGGTTTTCCATGCATTGACTTGAACTGCAGCCTGTGCAGTGGGAAGATGGAATCAGTTAATCATCTGTTTTTACATTGCAAGTTCATAGGAGTGATGGAACTATTTTCTAAAGTGCTTAGAGGTCATCTGGAGTATGCCTGCCTCAGTTAAAGAATGCTTGGAGGCTTGGCATATAACGGGGATGACAAAGAAGGAGAAGTTGTGCTGGTCCTCTTTACCTCTGGATATCTTGTGGGCAGTATAGACTGAAAGGAACAGCACGACTTTTGATCACAAAGCTTCTACTGAAGCTGAGATCATTAACAAGACTATTGAACTGCTTAGGAGCTGGTTGTCTATACATACAGGTTTTAAAGAAGATACATCTGACTGTAATTTTTTGAAGGTGGCCTTTCTTTGAGGTCCTTTTGCTTATGTTTTGTACAGTTTCTCTTTGTACAAAGGACCACTGATTAATATAATTATACTTTACCATTCATCAAAAATATAATTATACTTTACCTTTTCTCAAAAAAAAAACTTAGAAAAGGAAATCAAAAAATAAGGATAGAAGAAAACAAACTAATAACTAAAATGCACTACGGGTCTACGGCTCAAAAAATATTTTATTCTATTTTTCCATATAAGATATAATTAAATTTGAAGAATATATGGAAAGATTCTTAAATCTTTCTGCTTAAAACGAGAACACAGAAGTAACTGACACAGGACTACAGGAGTAACAAAAAACTCTCTGGAGCATTGATCAAAAAAAAAAAAAAACGGAAACTCTCTGGAATCCAGAACATAACTGAATCTGATTTCAATTAGACATAGTATCTGAATATTGTAACACACACTTTGAACAGATTGTGCACTCAAGAGCTACAACATAATAAATGAGACGCAACAATCTATGATTTCATCTAATGCAATCTCAATATGTGGCAGAAAACTATACACATGATGAAGCAAATAAAATGTGGTCTGACAAGACGGTCATAGGCATACAAAAAGAACTAGAGTAAGTTTGGCGTTGATTCTGCCTCCTTTAAATACATAATAAACTTAAGGAGAAATAAGGAGACCAGAGGGACATCACTTTCTTTGATGAGCCAGCATGTCAAAAGCATTGATCTCTCCTTTTTTCACCTCCACCCTGGGTGGAAAAAAATATAGCCAAACTGCCAACGTCCTTTTTTTCATGAATAAAATGCTCACCAAGGCTACAAATAAATGCTTGGAAAAAATGATTTTGTGGTGAAGGAACCTGATGATTGGGGCACCAAATTCTAGCATAAAGTGTAAATAAAGAGATTTAACCATCCTTAAGATTGTTGAATAGAGAAGCAGGCAACTTCTTCTATCTACACATTTCTAAGGATTGTCTTAAATGCAAGTTCCAATCTAAACCATGTACAACATGATATAGAAAATTCAAGATTACGACTTCCTTATACAAGGAGGGCTGAAATATAGAGGAAAAGGAGCAGCTAAGAGGAAAGTTACCCCACCATAAGTCAGTAGAATTTTGATTTTCTGACTGTTACCCACTCCAAGTATGGAAAAAAATGATGGTAAGTTTTGAGAATACCTTCCCATAAGCATTAGAGAGAAAATAGTGTAATTTCGGCCTGAACATTACAAAACAGATTTCGAAGTTACAGAATATTTACTAGTACTCCTTCAATGAACCCAAAGAATCCATAAATACAAGTGCTTTGAAGGCAACCATAAATAATGAACTTAAAGCTTATTCGATGATTAAATATTATCTCGAGAACATGATATATTTTTCATTTTACAGCTACTGGGCAGTCTCTCATTGACTAAGATAATAAGAGCAATTCCAGTGAAGGATAGGTCCTTTAATACCAGTGGCAACTGGCATAATATCATCTATATAGAAGGAACCAAGTTAAAGGGAACCTCAAGGCGGCCAACTAAGCCAGTGCAAACTCCAAGTTGGAAACAGGACATGCTTCTGATTTTCAAGGTATAAATCACAAGAGAAACAACCACATAATTTTATCATCATATAAATGTAAACTACCACCTAAATGATACAAAAAACAAATTAAAATGGCCCTAAGAGGAAATTAACAATCTTGAAAACCATAATATGATGGAACAGATAAGGTTCTCAAAGCTTACAGAATCCCTTAAATTAAATATAATATATATATATATATATATAAATCGACATTTCAACAACCCCCTACTCTGCCCATTGGGCATTTTTAACCATCATAAGATTCCAATTAACAGAAACATGGTTACTACTTAAGTAGTCAAGTAGTAATGTGGTCATACCTGCATTGCCAACAAAACCTTTTGAATTTCAACAAGCTCCTTTTCGAGATTATCTTCTTGCACTGCCAGAGATCGAGTGGCCTCGGAATTCTTCTGAGCCAAAGCTGCAGTCTTCAAAGTGCAAACACTAAGAAATAATTAGCTATTGAAGAGAGAGGAGAGAGAGAGAAAGGAGGAAGGAAGTTCTTGAGTATAAGCTGCTGAATTTAGTACCAAAAAAAAACAAAGAAAAGCTGGCTTACTTATGGTAGTAGAACTAGATAAAGGGCAAGCTATTTGAAAATCATAAAATATTTAAAAAAAATGTAAGAGAGATCCCAAAACAGAATCTCGGTCAAGTAGTTTACAACTATCTATCATATACAGAATTAAGTTTATTTTCTTTGATTTAAAATAATACTAACAACTAATTATGTATCAACCTAGAAAATTTTATATAGCAATTTTGGAATTCGGGAGCAAATTTGCCTCCCCAAAGTTGAAGGGGGGTTAGGCATACTTTTACTTCTGCTCTCCTCTGCAAGTGGATTTGGAGATTTACAGCAGAAAATGATGCCTGGTGGAGATCTCTCATTGCTAGCAAATATGGTGTGGATTGAGGTAATTGGAGAACAAGGGACCCTCCTCTCAATTGGGGTAACTCTCCGTGGAAAGGAATAATGATGAATTTTTCAACTCTGGTTGCTGGGGTCTCAATTAAAGTCGGCAATGGTAGCAGGACCAAATTCTGGAAGGACCCTTGGTGCTCAGATGAACCCCTTGCTGATTCCTTCCCTCTCCTCTAGGCTTCTGTTGCAGAGTGCTTTAGTGTATCTGGTGGTTCAGTTCTTTGGTCTCCTTCATTTCAAAGGAACCTTTTTGTTTGGGAAGTGGATGAGGTTTTGAATCTGTTGACCTGTCTTCAGAACCATGAGCTGGATTACAGTGTGGAGGATAAGTGGCAATGGAAGTGGAACTCAGATGGGGTGTTCTCTGTCAAGTCTCTGGCTTCTAACCTCTATAGGAGTGGTATTCCTGATTTCCCTGATCGGCAAGTGTGGAATCCAACCAGCCCAACTAAAGCCAACTTCCTAGTTTGGACTATGGCTCTTAATAAATGTCTTACTTGAGATAACCTAGTGAGAAGGGGCATTCAGATGTTGGACCTGTCTTCCAGTCTGTGTGGGAGTAGTGCTGAATCCACTGACCATTTGTGCATCCACTGTCCGTTTTCTGCTCAGTTGTGGAGCCATTTCCTCAGCTCCATGAAGTTAAGTTGGGTGATGCCGAGGTTGGTTAAGGAGCTGTTCTGTTGCTGGCAGCTTATGGGTTTGAGCAAGAAAAAGAAGACTGTTTGGAAGATGATTCCAATTGCTGTAATTTGGTCCATCTGGACTGAGAGGAATAGAAGGATTTTCAGTAACAAGACTCAAGTCCGGAAGAGCTAATTCAGAAAACAGTGCGCAAGCTGATGTTTTGGGTGTCTGTGTCTGCGGATTTCAGAAATTGTAATGTGTCAGCTGTTTTTCTTTCTAGCTCATGGTGGAATGTGTAATTGCTGATTTGATCAGTCAGCCTTTTCTGGGACTGATCTCAGCCTCCTGTGTGTAATTTCTTCTCAATAAATATTACTTTACCTTTTCCAAAAAAAAAAAATTTGGAATTTGGAAAAGAGAGTAAAAGGTAGTGGCATATTTTCTGGGGATCAGTAACACATGGTCATGATAGCTGATGGTGAGAGATAGTTATTCATCTTTCAATTGATTTTTTTTAAGGAAAAAAAGGAACTTTCTCTACCAAATTGTGTTGAATAACTATTAATTGCACTCTTCTCTGAAGTAAAAAAAAAATTCCCATTTTTTACTTTAAAATGTAGCTAAATGTTTTAGGGTGCATGTAGATCTCCCACACTACTCCCCCAGCAGTAAAATGTAGCTAAATGTGATACATAAGTAAAGCCAAATTTCCTACAAGGGCATTTTCCATGGGCAATTGAAGATCATAAATTGTGGGTCACTGCTACAAGTGAGTTCACAGAAGCCTTAAATCAAAAAAAAAAAAAAAACACACAAGATGTAAAAGTTTGTGAAATCCCAAGTATGTGCAAAGACCCCTGTCTTGCATTCTGTCCTGTGATTTCAATGACTCTGTGGAAACACAGCCTGTGAAGTTAGTATTGCTCCAAACCGTATATTGTCACCAAACAGAGAAATAAGAACAAGAGAAAATATCTCTCAACTAAACACAGTGAAAAATATGATCTTAACTTATCCAATTCTTTCACCTCCGTGATGAAGTTCGAAACAAGGTTGTCAATCATGATTTTTATAGGTCAATATGGTTACTGTAAATTATTTCATCTGTTAGATAATAATGGCAATTAATAACCTCAAACTTTAATTCAAAAAAAAATTCTTATCCATGCTACTGGGGTTCTCCTGGTTACAACACAATCAACGCTCTTTTGAATCAGCTATTTGGTCTTAGTATTAGAATCCAATGTAATAAAATTCATGACATTCTTTCTGCTACAATGTTGGAGAAAGTTAGCTCATGACATTCTCTTTTTTTTTTTCTTCATTCAAATCGTGCATTTTGGGATATTTGATTTATTTGTTTATTCTATCCTACTCCAACCAAGCATGATTCTTTAAACAGAGCCTCAGAAGTAATGCAGCAAAAAATAAATTAAAAGTATTTTTCTAGGAAACATGAGCTCACCTGCGTAATTGGTTCTTTCAAAGCTTTCCTTGTAACCCTAAATCTAGTCCCCAATTTCTCCAGCTGCCTAGACAGAACCCTTATGATAGTTGCAGAGCTTCGAAGATCCTCCTCTATCTTCTCAATTCTCTCGATAAGGTTAACACTCGAACCACCAGCACCCGTCTTTATCGTATCTCTACAAATCCTCCTCCACTGCCTTCTTCTAACCAAAGCCCCGGCAGCAACAGCACCAACCAACAAAACAAACTGCCAGACAAAAATACGGTTCACCAAAGACACCTGAAGCGATTTTTGCAAGGGGCTCGAGAAAAACGCCCAATTCACGGCATATCCGACAGAAAGAACAGCTGAAGGAACGATACACAACACTTCTACAATCGAAAGGAAAGCCTCCAAATTCAGCTTACTATCGAGCCCCTCTCTCTGCAGAGCGTCGTGGGAGGACTCAAAAACTCTGACACGCCATTGACCACCCGCCTCAAAGTTCTGTTGTTGGTTACGCAGCCAAGGAGGTCTCCGCCTGAGAATTCCGAAATGCAGGGAACTTGAGCTTCCACCGTGCCTGGAGGAGAATGGGAGTGTGGAAGTGGCAAGGTGTTTCAGAGGATCGCCACCGTGAACCAGATTCATCGAACAGAAGAGGCAGATATGAGAGCGCGAATTGGTCAACTGGGATTGAGCAGCAAATGACATTGCTCTCTATTAGGGTTTTGAGAATTTGAAGCGAAAAGACAGAAATCACTGCGAATCCGTGCTAGATGGAGAGTGGAGACAGAAGAATTGCTGACAGAATTCAATGACGATGTTCCCAACAGTGTGGTGCAGTAGCTCAGCCGCGCAAGTTAGTTTTTTGCCGGGAAAGTTAAAACAATACTTCTCCGACGAACATACGCGGGACGGCCCGGATGCCGGAATATGTAAGAAGAAGTGGTAACCAAAAAACAGGGGTAGATTTTCTTTATTTTTTTTATTTTTTTCTATTTTTTAAGAAGTAGATGTAGATAGATCCAAATAAATGTATATGTTACTCTCTACCTATCTATTGATGCCACGTGGAAAATAAATTGCCCAATCGCGCATGAGCGCTGCTCTTTTGGAATCAATGAGCGGTGAACAGGTAGGGAATAATATATCCACCGGGAGTGCGCTCACTATTATCATCACTGTGTCTGTTTTTCATCAATACTCTTTAGTCTTTTCTTTGGAAAGGAAAGGTAGGAAATCTCAACAAATCTAAATCACTGGTCTGGAGACTTTATTTGTGGTGAAGTAAATTTTCTAGGTAGGGTTTTAAATTATTAATTATTTCGCTGCAATATACCCATGATATTTTCAAATTTCCAAATAAATTCCAAGAATATCATTAGTTTTTCTTGCTTTGCATACAATCAAATACAACATGAGATTTAAAATCATTTAATTAGTTTACGGACAAAACAACTCCTGAATGGTCAGTCAAACTTGTTAAAATATATATATATATATATATATATGTTAAATATATGTGAGTTAGGCCTGGTGTGGGCCCAAATTAAGTATAACTAGGGGTGTAAATGGATTAAATTCGAATCGGATCAGGCAATACCCGAATTCAATTCGAATTCGACTAATTAATTATTTTAGATAATTAATAAATATATAAAATAAATATTTTATTGATATAAAGTATATAAATATATAAATTATTTATTAACTTAATTATTATATATAAATTATATAAAATATTTTATATTATATAAGAATTAAATAATCGGTTGAATTCGGATATTTATCGAATCGAATCAAGCCATATCCAAATTCGAATCCAATTATATATTCGGTACAAATAGGATATCTGAATTCGACCGATTAGATATTCGAAATATCCAAATTCGATTTGATTATGTCGAATATTGAATTCGAAATCAGATTTTCGAATACCGTTGACACCCCTTATCATAAAAATTATTTAATAAGGTCATCCAGGGGTAGTTTGGTCATGTAAAACTTAAATGCTTATGTGGAAAACTTTTATTAATGATTATTAATGATGATCCAATGGCATTCTAAAGGAAGGTGAGTTTTGGACAATAAAACTTAATGGCAAAGGGTTATTTAGAGGTTTTGAAAAGTCATGATAAGTTTAAGAGAAATGTCAAAAAGCCACAATGAATTTTTAGATAATATCCCTTGTTAAAAAGACACTTCTTGAATTGTCAATAGGTTGTTGAATGGATTTGGATTGGGCCAAGGTAGACCCATCCCAAATAAGTAGGAGAAAACCTAACCTTGGTTCCAATAATAAGTAATAAAGAAACCATTCATCAACTGAGTTTCAATCATTTCTCTAAGGTTTTCTTTGGTTAAAAAAAAAGAAAGATAAGGAACATCTTATATACTTGTATGTTTTCATTCATGGGAGATGTTCTCAATGCACAGCTGCAAGTGCTATGAGGTGGGTATGAGGAAATCTGGATTCACCCAAACCATTAAATACTTAGATATGCAACCCGCAGAGAAGTTATGCACACACACACACAGCTGCACATTGAGAACATCTTCAATAAATGATAATGGTGATGTTCCGGATGTGAGGCTGAAGTGTTTTGTGGGTAGGCTTGTGGATAGTAGATCTTGAGTCAACAGTTAATGAGACTCAAGAAACACCCATAGAAGAGCATATGAGAGAGAGAGAGAAGATAAAATGGAAAATAAATGGATTAGATTTAGGTGCCATTTTATTGCTTGAAAGTCTAAAAAGCAAAAAGCTTTAAAAGAAAGAACTTTAGAAATTTGTCATTTTCATATATCTTAGTATAGAGATCGTTTGATCTAAAGCTGAATTCTAAAAATAGAGTTTGTGGGCTAAAACCTTAAAAGCAAAGTGTTTTCTTAACAGCCATTTTCTTCGTGCTTACGAAAAAAAAAGCTCAGTCTTAAGGGTGGAAAAGTGTGATGGAAGGGAATAAAATCTTTTGTTTTTTGTAATCAATAACTTTGCCCTGACCCGTTTTCTTCCCCAAAGTGCTAGTTGCAAGATTTGATTCTGCGTCAATGCTAGAACAAACCAGCTAATACACCAACGAGCCAACCCTCAATTGGTTGAAAGGAAGAAAATCTTGGGGCAATAAGGGGTAAAAAGTTGACTTATTCTCTAACCCTTGGATTCTAGGAATAGAATATTTCAAGCCAATAGGATCCGAGACCCAAGAATCTCTTAGAGTCTATTTGGTTCACAATGGGAACCGGAATGGTCCATTCCCATAGTCTATTTGGTTCAAATGGGAATGGGAATTGGAATTAGCAGGAATGAGATTTCATTCCCAAGGGAAGGACAGGGAATAGCCATTCTCTCAAATGGGGGAATGTCATTCCAGTAGAAATGAAAATGGGATTCTGATTCTGCCCAACCAAATAGTTGGAATCGAAATGACCCATTCTGATTCCCATTCCAAACCCCTATTATAGTGACCCAAATGGGGCCTTAGATTGATTGTGGCTAGTCAAATCAACAATAGGAGTAGATCCTAGAATGAAAGTAGAGTTAAAACATTTCTTCCCAAATTCAGTTGCCCAAAAGATCCTTAATATTAAGCTAGCTTCCAATGAGTGGGAAGGTTAGGTTATGTGGGCTCCAAACCCATGTGAGATTTTCATAGTGAAATTTGCATATCACCTAGCTATTAAATCCCATATGTCAATCTCTCCTCTAGAAGCTCCTGGTAGAGACAAAAGTCAAGCACTTCCTATGGAAGTGTTGTTTGATATCCTCCTAGAAAAGGAAATTTTGTCAAAAGAAAGATTTCTCAATCCCTAGATTGTTTGAGATTTGAGAATGGGAATGAAACTATTCTTTATGCTTTAGTGTATTGTTGCAAAGCTAGATGCAATTAGTTCTACTTTGGTTTTGGGTTAAAATTTAAAAACAAATACGGTGGATCAAAGTTCTTTTGGTGATTGGTTTTTTAGCTCCACTTGTATTAATGGATATCGTGATTCCACTTTAGTTTCTAAAATGCCTAACCTGCTTTGGAAAATATGGAAGGATAGAAATTCTTTTTTTTTTGAGGATATTGATTCTGATCCTACTATCATTATGGATGCTTACAATAGGTTGACAATAGATATATCTCTAAGCTCACTTTAGGAATCAGAAAACTCTTTCAAGGCTAATATTTCTCCCTCTTTTTGGTTGCCATGGACTTAGGGGTTTTAAAGGTCAACATGAATGGTGGTTTTGTTGCCCCAGATAAAGTTGCCTATGGTGTTTTGGCCCGTGATAGGAATGGCACAGGTTGCAGCCCTACTTTTGCTACCTCACCTTTAATAGCCGAAGTGGCAACCTTTTTTGAAGCTTTAAAAATGGTGTCTTCTAAGAACCTTGTGCATATTTTGGTTAAATTAGATAATCTCTATTTAGTGAACCGCTTAAACTCTGTTTTGGATATTTGTCACCAAGATATTCTTTTTATGTTAAAAGATATTAAAGCTTTATGCAAAGGCAAGTCTATTCTATTCTTTGGGGCTCCTCTTGAAGCTAATGTTGCTGCTCACAAGTTAGCTATGCCTGGTCTCACTTTGTCTTTGGGAATGGATGATGGTTTCCCTTTGTGGTTTTCTTGAGTTTTAGTGGATGATTGGGTTGTTGGCTCCATGTTTTCTTTCCTTTGTTTTTCCTTTTCTTTTGCTTTTAGTTTCCTTTGTTTTCATGTCTTTGTGTCATTATTCGTTGCTCTTGTTCAATGAAATGTAGGTTTACCAAAATGATTCTAGATAATTTACCAACTTAAAACAAAACCCAATGTAAACCCAACCCAACCTAAAGTTTTGGATTATGATTGGGTTAAACAACCCAGGTTGAGATAGAAATGACCTGAACCCGACCTAACCGGGCCTAACTTGCACCTATAGTGACTATTCATTGAGTCCCTAAATACAAGTATAGAACACTTAAGAGAATCAAAGACCTGAAATCATGAAGAGCCCATTTCTTTCTTGGGAAGCATCTTTTTCTTTCTTTTTTTTTTCTAATTGTTTACTATCCAGGTGATGCCCTAGTTGGATAGAGCTACCACGTGGGCTCCTCCGTGGCTAACGTCCTCAGACCACATCAGCGCACTACTCACCTACAAGTGTGGATAACTACGTCACCAAAGACTAGCAAAGTCCTGCACAAACAAAGAAAAACACCACCACCCAAGGATAAGCGCCCTTTCTAAGAAAGGCGGAGCTCCCCAAAAACCTTGGTGGATGACCTCATCCTAATGACCCCGCAAGGAGCGTGTCTAGGTAGAAGTTGGACACTCAATTATTTAAAGGCATCTCTCCTCAAGGTAAAGGGGCTTCAACTCTCGGGACTCTCCAAGTGCTCTAGCTCTCTTGCTCACTTACTGTTCTCCTCGACTCGGCCAAGATCAGCCCGACCGACTACATCATCCCATTATTGACTTGAGCATCAGAGTGCCTTCCCAGGGACCTCATCCCCAGGGCTCTAACTTTGTCCTATTCGCATATCTCCTTGGTGCACGACCTCGTCCTTCCACCTCGGCTTCGTCCAGTGGTAGGATTATCTATTGCGTGTTCGGTTCGACACACCTCAATTCAACACACCTTAGATCAAGCAACATTAAATTGACACCATCTATGGGAATGGGCACATAAAGCCTACTTCTAATCTTCTCTATCCTCGTGTATTGAAAGCGATCATGCATCACAAAAATACCTCTGACTGCTCTAGTGCTCACTCTCCATCTTAGGGACCCCATTCTCGACATAGCTCCCCCCTGTGAGACTTGGCCGCAGGACCAGGTGAATCATAAAGAGTTCAACGTGCTTTAGAAGAAGGTCTATTGCCTCATCCTAATGATGGAAGCATTGTGGCAACAAGGACACGCACCCTACGACAGTGCAACCAACCCACTGGTGCCAACGACCGTTGACCTTCATGCCAAGGACCCCAAAAGGCACCCAATGGATCCTTTGAGACTTAGGATTGAGTGTAAAAGGCCCCAACCACCTGAGAAATCTGAGTCCCAAGCTCGACCCGAGCCCATAACACTCACTCCCAATCAAATCACTCTGGAGGAGATCGCCTTCTTGACAAGGATTGCCTCGGTTCAGCACACCTCAGCTCAGCATACCTTGTCCGCACGTGCGACACCAACAGCCATAGTGATTGAACAACACACCTCATAGACTTTGACATTGAGATTGGAGACATGCGGGAGCGATTGAACGAGTTAGAGCAAGGCCATGCCAACCAGAGCGTGGCCACCACGACAACTCATCCTCCAAAAGAGTTGCACCCCCCTCAATTGGAGAAATACAATGGGACCTTAAACCTTGCCGACCACTTGGAAGGATTCAAGGCCCTCATGTTCCTAATAGAGCTCTTCCAAGGCCTTAATGTGCAAGGCCTTTGTCTCTACACTCTATGGAGTAGCTCGGTAGTGGTATGTCGCACTACCCCCTTGATCGATAGTTGCTTGGGAATAGCTCGAGAAGCAATTCTTATAACAATTCACCAACAGCCATTGATACAGGAAGACATTAGCCAGCCTCATGCAGGTCCGGCAGAAGGAAGGCGAATCCCTATGAGAGTACTTAGCGAAGTTTAATGCCGAGTCCATCCAAGTCCAGAGTCTGAACCAGTCTATGGCAGTGGCCACCATCATGAATGGGTTGCGGACATCTCGGTTCAGCTTTTCACTACAAAAGAATCCCCCTGTCGGACTGACCCATCTCATGGCACACACCTAAAAATACAACAACGTTGAAGAGGCACAAGCACAATGCCAACAAGAAGAAGAAGGCCAACATGACAAGAAGTGCAAGGACTAGAGCGACAATCCAGCTATCCACAATCGTGACCACAACAGAAGTCGTAGGCCGAGGACTCCACCCTCGGCCTTCAGGAAGTTCACTCCACTCAACCAGATCGAGATGCTAGTACAAAATTGTGACCATAGGTTTGTATGGTGGCCGAAGAAGTTGAAGTCTCAAAGAAACAGGAGGACCAGGGACGAGTATTAATTGCAAATTTCACCGAGACCATGGCCATGACACTAAAGATTTTTGAGACCTCAGCAACCACAAAGAAGACCTCACCCAAAGAAGGTACTTTGGGGGTTTCGTGGACGACTGTCAATCTCCCAACAAAGACAGCTCAAGCCGCACCAACGTGCCTATCGTCCGAGTCTGGCCTTCGGCTAGAATCATCGTCGTCTCTCAGGTAGGCGACGCTTAGAGAGGAAAGCCCCATAGGCAAGGTGATTACCACTAAAACTAACTGAATTCTTTATAACTGATATTTGAGCAATAAAAGTTAATTTTTGATAATATACACTCGTCATACTGCACACACCAAATGCCCCCCCCCTCACGGTGACTCGGTCGTTCCCTGATGGCCAAGAACGGACAGTTAAGATTCCTAGCTCGGACTAGGTGAAGTGGGAATGGAATCCCCGCCACTCATGGCTTGAGAACGACCAGCAAATACCACTCCATGGCGTCATAATGGCCTTAAGGAGCCAAAGAACCGTGGCAAGCCCCTTGACCTAGTGTTGAGGGAAGAGTCGGCCAAGTACCATGGCCAACCCGATAAGAAGTAGCCAATCAGCTCCAAAATGACCAGGCTCCACTAAGCTCCCAAAGAAATCTGAGAACTTGGAAGTGCCTTGTCCAAATAGACTTGGAGGCCACCTAGCCACCAAGTTCGAGACCCCGATCAACATAAGACTAAGGCCATCTATCCGTTAAGTCCACAGCCTTGGCCATCCTAAGACTTCAGCCACCTAACCATTAAGTCCATGACCACGGCCATCCTAAGACTTCGACCACCTAACCATCAAGCCTGAGACCTCAATCAATATAAGACCAAAGACCACTTAACCATCAAGCTCGAGACCTCGATCAACATAAGGCCAAAGGCCACCTAGCTATTAAGTCTGCGACCTCGACTATCTAAGACTTCGACCACCTAACCATCAAGCCTTAGACCTCGATCAGCATAAGACCAAAGGCCACCTAGTCGTTAAGTCTACAACCCCAACTAGCCTAAGACTTCAACCAACCCAAGAGAATCAATTCCAAACAACGATCGAAGTCGGTTCCCTAAGGACCTCGGCCCCTCTAGTTTCTTTGACCTTGGCCTCGGGCGACTTGACCTCACCTTCGAGCATCTCGGCCTTGGCCAACTCTACCCCACGTTTGGTCTCTTCAACCTCGGCCAACTTTGCCTCACCTTCGGCCTCCTTGGCCTCAATTTAGGCCTTGACCGACTTGACCTCACCTTCGAACTCTTCGGCCTCGGCCAACACAACCCCACCTTTGGTCTCCTCAACCTCCACCTCACCTTTAGTCTCCTCTATCTTGGCCTACTTGGCCTCGGCCAAGCTCAACCCAACTGACTACATCACCCCATTATTGACTTGAGCACCAAAGTGCCTTCCTGGGGACCTCATCCTTGGGCCTTTGACTTTGTCTTATTTGCAGATCTCCTTGATGCACGACCTTGTTCTTTCACCTCGGCTTCGTCCAATGGTAGGATTGTATGTTGTATTCAGTTTGGCACACATCGGTTCAACACACCTCAACTCGGACAACATATTTGTGGATTATGTTGACTTTATGCGGGTTTATTGAATTCCAATGTGACATGGATTTAAATTCAATATTATGTAATAAAAATAAAAAATCAAATTTCAAATCTATGTTTTATAAAAGACGGCATGCGAATATGAGAAAAAGAATCCAACCACACATCCATAACATCTCCCCATAAATTTAATACAAGTATGGATAACATTCTTGGGGTGCAGTTGGATGACATGCTCCCAACATGTTTGTATGATTTCTGCTTTGAGGATATCCGGGTTCATTTCATAAGCCATGCTTTTAACATGTTTGCAGGATTTTTGCATTTCATAAAGCAAATGAATATTGGACCACATCTAACGGTAATAGTAGGATCCGATCACTATGACATGCCACGCATTGATGCATAATAAGCTAATACGCACCACCAAAAAAATCTTTTAAAAACCCATCTAAACAACGAATATTTAGACCTTTTTTTTACCGGCCAGAAGGATTATTTGAGATTATTTACACTAACGTTAATCAATTAATTGGACAAAAAGCGGCAGCAGCAGCAACAATAATAATTACTCTTGAACTTTTAGGCCAATTAGTGATGAAAGGTGTACTCTTACCAAAAAAATAACATGATAGACAATGAAAGCTTTAAAAATTCATATATTTCAAAATAAGCAAATACTAATATGTGAACATTATGATATGAGAATGAAATATGACCACGCATCCCCTAATATTCACATTTCAAAATATATAAAAACTGTATGGAATAACACGAAAGTGGCTGGATTGAATCACTTTAGGAAAATTTATGCTTTATTCCCCTCACAAATTTCCGTTAGCTTTCCAAATTTAGTCTCAAACCCCAACCAATGCTAAATACCCTTTACCAACCTATGCTAAATGCCCCTTATATTGTGATAGATTGGAGTATTGTACACACATCACTGTTCCTAAAAGGGACTTTTTTAGATTCCTCTACCTCATATTTCACCATTTAATCAATTTATCCAGTGAGACGGTACAATAAGTCACTCGAAAAAGCCACTCTGGCCGTTATCAAACGGCCCCCAAGACAAGCCAGATGCATCGATCTGTAATTCTGTAGCTTCCACTAACGGAAAAAAAAGTAGTCTAAATTTTTATATGAAAGCACTCAGATCTGGCTGTGGAGCCTCTGCGTTAATCAGCCCACAAGTCGAGATATAACGAGCAAATAACTGGGCAATTCAGAGAGAGAGAGAGAGAGGGATGCTCAAAATCAATAGATACATTAACATTTCATTAAAACAACATTATTGAATATTATACTTGTGCTAATTTAGCTAGAATGACCATGTCCAAAATCTTAACATCAAGTGTATCATCTACTTTAACGATGCCATCTGTTCCATCAATACCAATCAGCTTCCCGGTGGCACCACGATGCACCCCACTCATAATCTTGATCTTATCTGATTTCCTTGGTACCACTATCTCCATTTCATTCTGAGAAACTGTAATCGTCTCCCCATTGCCGGTTGATCCAAGAGCAACCTTACAAGACCCATCCTGGACAAACGAACGATAGTATGACGCAGTGAATAGATAAACAAACGAAAAACACGGTCCCACAATCAACCCAACCACAAGGGAATGCAAAAAGTACAAATCATTCACTAGGGAACATCTCACACTGCATCATGCATTCATAATAAGTTGTGGTCATACATACCGGAAGCACCTCTCGAACGACCCCGACACCAGATTCCTCCCCGGACTTCCTTACATTTACTAATATATCTGGTATAAACCAAGGCCCTTCACTTTCACCACCTGCCATATTATGAAATGTAAGGCGGGGAATTTCTTATAAACCAAACTAGGATATATAAAAGAAACAATTGAAGTCTCAAAGCTTTGCTTCCGTGTAACGGTGTAAGAGCCAGAAAGGCAGATACAGTAGCAACACATTTTCTACCTACAACCGCTGAAAAATAATTGATGGAATTAAGTTGATACTTTTTCTAGCATGTTTAATTGTTAATTTTGTTGGGTCCTCCAGCTATAACTACAATTTGCATGATAATACCTTACAGATATCATTCCACACACTTTTTCAAATAGGCATGAGGCTAGGCACTCCACAACACCAAGGCAAGAGGCATCAATCAAAGGAAAGAAGAAAAACCACCCAAGAATATACCTTCTTAATAATTAATTAATTAATTAAAAATAAAACAAATAAGAAACCTTCCAAAATACAAAAAAAGGGAAATTCATTTGTGCAATTTCTAATAATAAAACCATCAAGTGTAAAGCAAAACATGGTACAATCGCTTGCAGACATCACTTATCAGTACTATCAATCACATGGCAACTCAAAAAGAAGTAACAAAACGGATACTTGGTAGTAAATTCATGATTTCACGGTACAACTGAAAAATGTCTGGTGTTATGCTTGAAGAATTTAACAGAAATCAAAGCAATTAACAGAATTTTCTCAAAGTAATTGGAGAAAGCATGTATATATCCTTTCAATTTTAGGTAGAACATAAATTATAAATTAAAAGTGTTAATTTTCCATTTATATGACTTGTACCTAAATGATTAGAGCAACAAAGAATTGCAATTATAATCAAACCATAAATCATGTATTTTTCCCAATTTCAAAAATAAGGCTTTAACTTAATAGCTTTTTTCAATAAAATTTGAAGTTTGACCTTGATTGTGACTGTTGAAATGAAGAAGAAAAGGCAAAGCTGCCGTTTTTCACATAAACACAGAAAAATGCAGGAGTTAACAAAGGAATATGGAAGTGATTTCTTTTCAAATAGAGATACTGAGGAAGAGGGAAATCCCCCTTTTTACTGTAAAAACAATGAAAGATGATCTCATGACTCCTGTGTAGATAGTAAGAGAGAAGACAATCAGTCCTTTTTGCAGTCTAAAGTTTTCAACACCGCAAAAGATCAAAATGAGCTGATTGTACTTCTCTTTTTCCGCTTCATCCTCACTTCTCCTTTAACAATCCCTAGCTAACAACCCCCCCCCCCACCATTTTGCAAATGAATATGAGATCTTTTGTTTTGCTATTTTTCATATGATAATATGGAACCCATAGCAGGTAAAATGGTAGCTCACTTTCACTTCACATTATTCATGGGAAAATCTATGATACCAGAAACATATGGAGTTGTACACTCCATGGAGCACAATATAATTTGCATTAGCACAAAATAGGCTTAAGGCTCAGTTTGAAAGGAGTACAAATACAAATATGTAGAGTGCAAAACCTTGTATTTTGTATGTATTTGCACTGTACATAGTTGTATTTGTACTTCTTCCAAACTGAGCCTAAGTTGCAAAACTTCCACATGCCTCCATAAAGGAGGCATATGCATCAAGGAGTCCAACACTTCATTAAGTGTCTCAGTGCATTTTCCTAGTGCCTCAAGTTGAGGTGCGTCTCCAGGCTTATTACACCACGGTCACCACCACCTGTGCTTTTAAAGCACTGGTTGCACCCTGGAAGATTCGGCAAACCAGTTCAGTTTTATACTCTCTACTAGCTTTTCTACTTTTACATTCTTTTTTCTTTTGATAATAAGAGATTAGATTTCATTAGAAAAGAAACACCAAACTGCCCCCCCCCCCAAAAAAAAGGCAGTAGGTCAAGAAGTACAGTCTAGAGAACTGCAACTGCACAGGAAAACAAAAAAAAAAATGGAGCAGCTTTTAGTTACAGCCCAACCCAGAGAAACCCCAAACAAGATAATCATAGGAACCCAGATGAATGAGATATTCAGGGATGAACCTAATGATCTAGCCAACCGTACCAGTGCTCCCCCAACACCTGGACTCCCGAGACAGTAGCCATCAAAGTTCAATTTCTGCTTTTTACATTCTAATTATACTTTTAAGCAATTTGTGAGCAAAATTTTGAAATACCCTACCTAAGTACCATACCAAATTTCAGATCAACTTACACTGAAGAGAAAGCCTCAGCTCTCAAGTCCACTCACACTTTGGATTGGAATGGTCTAGTAAGGAGTTTGAAGACAATCCTTTCTTCTCTTAGGTACTCATCAATTGGCTAGGGTCAAGTCCTTACCAATTGTTGAGTGGACAACAAGGATGCAAACCATGTGGTTTGATGGCAGCAGCCATATTAGTAATCCTCGGTCACGCAGAAATGGGAGAACCTCTGATTAGATAGGAAGCATTATTTAGACTGTTGCCTCTAACATAGAAAAGCTTATAGGCCTCCTTATGGAGCCTCTAAAGCCAAAATACTAAGAATCTCAATCGTAGTAATGGAGGAAGATCTAGCCAATGTCATATTGAAGTATAGAATAGAAGATAGATACCATTGGAGATTAGCATATTATCTCAGTGAAGTTGCGGAAATATTTTCCTTGATTCATGTTCAGTTAAGAAGTACTCCAAGAGAACTCAACTCTATAGTCATTGTCAAGAAATATCAGGCGCAAGGAGGGTATATTTATAAAGAAAAATCTCTATACCTTTGTAAGTTTGTTGAGAGGGTGGGCTGAATAGCCAATACTCTTTTTATAACTTTGACTGTACACCCTATCCTGCACTGTGTTAGAATCAGTAAAGAGACAGTGCAGTCTGTAGGGATGGAAATTGGGCCACAAATGAAAAAGGGCCAAGCAGAGCCAGATTCCACATGCCTCAAACCTGAAGTGCCAGCACAACAAACTGCCCCCCCCCCCAAAGTAGGTATAATCTAGAAAGCTACATCAGGATGATTAGGGTGTCAGAATTTGTTATCTAAAGACTTGATTAATACTTACACTATTTGTCCTTCAAATAAAATAGTTGTTTTTTCTTAAAATTATATGAGTAATTGCATCTCTTCAGGTATCGCCTTTTCCTGGATAATTACTTAGTTGTAAATTGAATCAGATTCCAATCTTTATTTTCAAATGTGAATAAGAAAATCACTTGACAGTTCCAAATTTGATCCTCCCCTTCATTTTTCACCAAACAGAAAAGTACACATTCATTAAATCATTTCTACAGAAAATCAAACAATAAATAATCTAATTTCAATTTTTAACTAGCATTTGAAGTCAGGCCACCACTGTGATATGAATGTTTCTTAAAATTGTCTTCTAAAATAAAGTAGATAGTATACTAAGATTTTTCCATCCATTCACCAAGTCTTGTTTCTCATTTTTATATGTCAGTAAAGCTTCCAGTATGTAATATTAAGTAAATTCAATTAACAAACAAAGTACCTATGCACATCCTGTATTTTTCTTTCTTTAAATCACCCATACGCATACTGTTTCATAATATATGGTTAGCATGATATGGAAATGACCACATGCAGATATTAGGTAGGTACTACTTTAACAACATCAGTTTGCAAATCCATTAAACAATATAGCTTTAAGCTAGGAATGCATTTGTATTTGTTTTAATCTAAATGGTGGTGAAAAGTGATCTACTTTGCTAATAAAAAGAAACTCAAGTAAATGCCACCTATTCCTTCATGTTAGAAGCAACAAATGCAACAGTAAGAATTAGACCTATCGTGGGTGACATGACATCAAGGCCACCACTTCCAGGGGTCATTGGCTGTCCACCAGGAGTACCAGGCAGATACGATGCAGAACTCGGTGTCATAGGCTGCCCACCAGGAGTTGTTGGCAAATAAGGACTCGGAGCACTTGCTGAAACAGAAAACATTAATTAATAAGGTTACAATAGCATTAAAAGAATTTCTTGAATGAAATTTTTGTGCAACTTTCTATTAAACTACCATAGGCTGGGCTGTTTTCCCTTGGAGTTCCAGCTTCACTATAATTTCCAGCAGGGGTGTTTGCCCAACCTGAACCAGGAGTAGGGGCTTCATAAGGCCGGGAAGGAGGACTTCCGGGCTGAACAAAAAGAAGTTCACAGAAATTAATATATGAAAGCCAATATATTAAATGTTCCAAAACAACCAATGCATGCATATTTGGACCAACTGCTGAAGTGAGATTACTGACCTGATACTGTGGACTGGTGCCCCAGGAGGAAGGGTTTGCATCATCCCAATTATCTCTGATTAGAAAATACAGAAGACAATTATTAGTTAAGCACGGATTACCATTATCAAATTTCAAGAAACATCGCTTATGTTAGAAACAAACAACAGTATATTAGGGAAACAAGAAACAAGAGACATATGGAAAACGTAAATACATTAAGTGCCACTAAATAAAATACATTAGCATTGTAAAAAACAAACCATATTTATCATGCAATGGTTTATTTCCGCTTATTCTCATCTCCAATTAAAAGTACAAAAACATTTATATTAATCATGATGGTTAAGTAAAAATGAAATGGAGTAAAAGAATCACAAAGTATAAAGAAAAGGACAGAAGGATATCACAACTTTACACTCCATGATCTAAAACTTAACTATTCTGCATATACATTTCCAGTGCATACCAACACTTTATCTGGAAAAGCCATTCTTGGGAAACCCATGGCAATTAGGTGCAATCATGGTGTTTAAGGATAAAAAGATCAAATAGTTGTCATATTCTCAGGGCCAATTGGTGTTGGGATTCATTGAGGGCAGAAGTCATGGCTGTAGTGGAAGGTGTGAGAGAGCAATAGATTTGAATATGCAGAAACCAATCACAGAAGGGGATTCAAAACTATAGGATGATTTATGAATTATGAAGCAGCTCAATGGAAGTATAGAAATGATTATTTAAGATAATTTTAGATAATTCCTTTGTTTCCCTTTAATAGTATTTACATACAATAGCCAGAAAGCAAAAGTAAACGTTTATGCCATATCTAAGTGCATATGTGAAATAAAGGGCTTCAACATGGAGTCATGGAGATCAACTAGGAACCTATTAATCTCTGGAATCAATTTGAAGTCTACAGGTTACTTCTTTAACCTTAGATACCTTAATTCATTAAGGACTAGATACATATATAACATATTATCTTCAGTCATATCCACTAACATTATTTTTCAATTAAAAAAGAAAGTGTGAACCTTTTATAGTCAGCATACAGACCTTGGTGGACTCATTGGTGCATAGGGGTTCCAAGCACGATCCCTCATAGGAGTCCTCATACCATCATGAATAGGTGTTGCTGGGAAAAAAAAACGTGCAACAGTACAAAGTAATAAATAGATGCCAGACAATATATTACAACAGTTGAAAGAGAACAAGGAAGAAACTAGGGCCCTGCTTGGCACGTCTTTCTGTGTGGGCTGTCAGTTGTTTAGAAGCCCGGCAGCCCAGGCTTTGGTCTTTTCCCGCTTGGTTGGAAAAAGATCTAGCCACCAAAAGATGACACCCCGAAAAGATGTGAAAGCCCATTTTGGGCTATTTTCGGGAAGCTCCAAATGGAGTTTTTCGACTTTTTCTCATTGCATCTTCACGTGGAGAGATGCACAGGTAGATGCCTTAACCAAAGTCTTCAGGCTGCTAAGATTTTAATGCAAAAGCTCAGTCTTCTGGCTGTCAGGTCTGCCAGAAGATCTTTCAAAAAAGACTTGCCAAATGACACCTAAGTAAATAAGAAATACCTCCTGGATCTCTCATAGGAGTCATATATGGATGCATTGGTGTCCGTGAAGGATGCATTGGTGTCTCACTTCCCATACCATATCTAGGTGTGTCACTGGTAAAATGGAAACAGTTAGAAAGTAGAAATATGAAATACCAGTTCCATCTAAACAAAAGCCATAAATAATTACGTACCGGTATGGAGTTGCAACTGCCACATTATCAGAGATCTGATTGCGGTTAACTGCACATATACCAACCATATTCATGGAAAACATGATAACAATATACATCATAATATCATATAACTTGTGATGAAACAGTACTTGCCTGTGACAACCTTCATTTGGGACTCTAATTCAACCCGGACGGATTGACCATTAACGTCTACAACACGCCCACGGTATCCCTTAAAGGGACCAAGGCGAATTTTTATGGTGCTACCAACTAAAGAATCATGTCCTCTTCCACCTCTATGTCTTCCACCAGCTGCACATGGTTTGAAGGCATCAATAACAAAGCTTTTTTGAAATGGATATATAAAATAACAACAGATTTTTATGCCAACAAAAAATCATAAACTAAATAATCCAGAAAACAAATTTAGGTACAAAATAAGCAAGGTCTCAGCAACATACAGTCCATTGGGGGTCCTCTGGGCGGTCTTCTCGGTGACTGGGTGATATGAGGTGAAGCTCTCAGATTAGGAAACCTTGAGGCCAGGGAATCTCCCTACAGAAGTATTCATGTAAAGATTAGCTAAATGAACCTAGAAGGATAAGAAAAAATACACATGAATGAAGGTGAGGGAACTGGAAAATACATAACAAGGGAACCAAAAGATCTTACATTTCTATCACTGTTGGCACGTGATCCACCTACAAGTACACAAGACTGAGCCTTAGCACAAATGTACCCAGCATGCTCGAGGTGATGTCTGTCATAGATGAACAATATTCCTCTATATATGTGTTCAACGGGACCTTGCTTTCCCTAATAATGAAGATACAAAGAGTTATTAATTGGCAATGTAGCAAGTAGATATAATAAGGTAAATATGATTGGAAATAGTGGATCTCACTTTGCATGGGCCCTCAAGAATCTTTACAACATCTTTTACAGAAACTGTATTCTTAGATTGATCTTGGGCATTGACCCTCCTCTCAATCTTGCTTTTTATCTCCCTTAATTTAACAAGCACAACTTCGGGTCTATCAGGAACTCCCTTGAGCACCTGGTCAAGATAAAACATATTGAGTATGCATTGAGATTTAAAAGGATGAATCAACCCAATTATATGACCTAATTTTCCCCCACTAACCTGGAAAGCTTCACTTTCTACACGTATAATTACACCAAAACTCATATTACTGCATCAAATTCAATAAACAAAGAAGGAAACAATGATCAAATAAAACCACATGAAAAGTAATAAGTATAGCATATCAAAAGAAATATCAAAAGCTTACTCAAGCAGCACAAGATCATGTAACTCGTAGTCTCCAATCTTGGTAACACCAGAAGTTACTTCAGAACTTTCCACCACATTGTCTGCAAATACACGAATCTGAAAGCAAGAGAGAGACAGAGGACAAAAATATGACCATTTAAGAAACTAACTTCAAGACTTGGGACTTGCAATCAGAAAGCATGCATTACTTACATCTTCTTTTGTAGTGTCAGACACAATGATGAGCACATGGCCCTCAACCTTAACAACCATACCAGTTGCACCCTCCTGAGCACCAGAAACAACTTTCACATGATCCCCAGGTTTGAAGTACTTACAAAGTTCTTTTTCATTCACCGCTAGAGTTGCCTGAAGAATGTGAACCATCAGAATCTTTATATAATTTTTACTTATAAATAACATTTCTTGTGTGCATCTATGGACATATTATATGGATATCAAATGCAAATAGAAAATTCAACCAGCATTTACCGGTAAGCCCTTCATTTTTGGTCTAATATGGACATTCTCTTCCTCTACTTTCTCAACCCAACCCATCAAATTCTTGAGGTCTCCCTTGACAACAATAACTGCATCTCCTTTCATAAAATGGCCTTTCTTCCTGTTAGCAAATAAGGTAGACAAACTAGCTATATCACCGGCTCCATCTTCTCCAGGCTTCCGGAATTTCTCAAGCTCATCAAAAGTTGGTTGTATGTTTTGAGCACTAATTGATTTCATTGATACTGTTTTATACAAAAAGCCATCTTTGAACATCATGCCACCAATATTCTCAAAGTAATCACCAGTAATTGGATCTCGTCTTCGCTCAACCCGGATATGCATCTCCCTAAACAAAGAATAAGAGACAAATAAGGCCAGAAAGAATTAAAACTCTGTAGTACTGTGTACATAAAAACTAAATGGTATTGCACTGCATTAAGGGACATAAGAAACAAAGTTACCTTGCTTCATCTATGTTCATGAAACGTGGAGGGGGTACAAATGCCTTCTTCTTCACAACTTCCCTACCTTCCTACAGCAGCAAGAAAGCAATACTTCCAGATGACCAAACACATCTTCGAAAATTTGAATTTTTTATAGTAAAAGAGAAATTTTATTAAGGAAAAAGCAAAAGGTGCAACCACAGATGACAAGGCATTACAATCAGAACTAATCTAACTGACCAACTCCACACTTCAAACAGACAACCTTCTCAAAATAAAGCGCACAGAAAAAATAAGGAAAAAAGAAAAACCTAATAGTAGTAATAAACAACAGCCATAACTCCCTTCCCTTATCCACAATCTGACCAAACAAACCTCCCACTTCCAAAAACTGAATCCAATGGAGATGTAAACACTAACAAAACGGGATCTGCTACATGAATCCTGTTTTGCCATTATGTTCTGTTTAGTGATACATCCACTGTTAAATTATGAGACTATGAATAATAAATATAAACAATAATTCAGGATCAAGTTCAAAATAAAATTAAAGTTAACAAATTGAGATGATAATCAAACAAAAACCAAACTAGTAATTGATTTTTTTTTGATAAATAAATGAACTTTTAATTTGGAAAAATTAGCACATACAAGTAGCCCTTGGAGAGGCGCAAGCTGCAATCTCTCCACTAAAGAAGAAAACAAAAGTAATAAGTTACAATTGTGCCCAATACAAAACTTCCCTAGCTGCCCCTCACTTGGCTAGACAGTCCGCCATAGCATTTGCTGATCTCCCCACCCATTGTTTTCTTAGGTCCATGTTTCTTGTCAGCACCTCAAACTAGCAATTGATTATAATATGCAGAGAAAGTATACCTTTTATTTGCAAGGAAAAACAAGCCTGTTATTTCAAACTCATCTTCTAGCCCACGATTGGGTAGGGAACTGATCACCTTCTTGTCCCAAAAACTGGATCAAGCACTAATTTATCTAGATCAAAGATAACACTAGGTTTCTCCTTGGGAGAAAGCACTCATGTAACTTGTTTTTTTTATATCAGCAATAACAGATAATTTATTAATTTTAAAGAGAGGAATTAGTACATAATGACAAAAAGACAGCCAACCCAAACAAGAAACAATTACAAAGAATCCCAAAACAGTTGCTGTCTTGTGATCCCTTGTTTAGCAAGACTTTCAGTCATCCCATTGGCAGTTCTTTTAACCCACTTGATTTCTGCATTTTCCACTTCCCTAAAGGCTTGCCTGAAAGTTCCAAGGAACATGACTGCTACATCTTGCTCAACAAAATAACTATTTTAGAATCCCCTTCCACCATCATCAGTTGAAACCCCAGTTGTTTTGCTAATCTAAGTCCTTGCAGCAATGCACAAAATTATGCTTTCAGAGAGTTTCCAACCCCATTAGGTCCTGAATATAAGGCCATAACCCTACCTTCTGAATTTATGAAGATACCTCCTATTCCTGCCAAACCCGGATTGCCTAGCCCAAAGAAATTCCATCAAAATTCAGTATAAGCCCAGTACCTTCTAACGGCTTCCAATTCATTATAATTCTGTCATTTTCTCCAGATGACAAATCCACCTATGGCCAGACTCTTAAACATTTTATCACTAAGAAGCCCTGAAAGCTTTCCACCAGTTTTACCCAATGTGCCACCTTGATCATTATACTGTCAATTATCTCTTCCAATGATCCAATTTTTTCATTGAAGATTCTCCCATTTCTCTTTTCACAGATGACCCAAATTACTGCTGCCTTTACTGGCCTTCAAATTATTCTCCCTCTTATCGGATGGAGTTGAGTCTCTTGACCCCTTCAGTTCAGACTCTAGTTTGGTGAATTTGTCTCAGGAGAATAAGAAAAATGGGGATTGGGATGCAAATACGAGGAAATTTGTCAATAGCACCTTCGTTGAAGTGGAGAAGGAAGGATGTTTGACTTCGAGAAAATTGTTGAGAAAAATACTGAGGTGAGCAAAAGTCTTGGTCTGTTCTTGGGTGCTGAGTCATTTGCTAGAAAAGCCATCAAGGAGTTCGAAAGGAGGGAAGAGAGTTTGAAAAAAAATGAGTGTAGTAGGGGAAGGAGGAGACACATGGAATGAGGATGTTGATGGGCAGGAGGAAATGTCCGGAGGGGGGGTGGATCATGAAGTCTTTTCCTGTCTTCTCAGATGGGTTTCAAGATTGGCAGAGGTGATAAGCTGAGATTATGGAAGGAATCATGGATACATGGTGCTTGCATAGCTGAGGTTTTCCCCCTTCTCCTTCGGTGTGCTGCTAACCCAGATGTTTCAGTTGCTGACTAATATGATTTGGCTGAGAATTTAGTGTCCTGGAGCCCTCAATTTAGATAAAATCTTTTTGACTGGAAATTGGATGAGATGTTGGAGCTGTTACAGCTCTTAGGCAAGTTATTCCTAAAAGTCTTGAGGATGAATGGAAATGGAAGTGGAGTGGAGATGGCTATTATTCAGTTAAATCCTTGGCATCTAAGCTTAGCAAGGCCAACATTACCGGTTTCCCTAGCAAACAGGTCTGGAACCCAACCAGTCCTCCTAAGTCAAATTTTCTGGCCTGAGTTTTGGTGCTGAATAAGTGCCTTTTGAAAACCAATCTGTATAGGAGAGGGATGCAGCTCCTGGGATCTGAAGTTTGGTCTTTATGGGCTCCTGCCAGAGACAGTTGATCACCTAAGCATTCGTTGCTCTATCTCTTCTAAGGTTTGGGAGCATTTTCTCAAAGCTGCTGGAGTTTGCTTGGTCATGCCAGGTTCTGTCAAAGAGTTATTATATTGCTAGAAGCTGCCTGGTCTGAAGAAGAAAGGAAAGCTGGTTTGGAAAACCATTCCTGCGGCTGTTCTAGTGATCTTGTCTGAAATATATAATCGAATCTTCTGCAACAAAGTGAAAAGTACAGATGATCAAATCCAGCTTGCTGTGAGCAAACTGATCTCTTGGTTATCTGTAATCACTGAGTTTAAGCATCAAAATGTGTTCCAGTTACTTTACTCTCAATCTGTTGGAATTTGTAAGCTGGGTTTTTTCCCAGTTAAGTCTGCCGGGAAGTTGTTGTAATCTACTTTACTCATTCATCAATAAATTATTTACCTTCCCTTTACAAAAAAAATATATTAAATAGTATTAGTTTAGGAAACCAAACTTATTCTAAACTAAATGTTTTAAAAAAAACCTATTGGCTTAAATTAAAATACATAAACAGAACATATAAAATATATTCAAAGTGAGAATGTAAAAATAAAATAAAACATGACATACAAAACATTATCAAACATGACATGTGAAACTTTCAAGAAATGTGCCTTAGACTTGGGAGGGGACCAAGGGATGGACCGTGTGCCTAGGTGCACCTTTTATGCTAATATGGTTATAACCCCTATTTATGCTATTATGGTTCATTCATTTTTTATATGATAAATTTTTCAAAAGATAAGGAATTATAATTACAATTACAATGTACAGGTTAAGAATTTAAGATTCTAACATGGTTTGTTTGGTTGGGGGGGTCCAAGGGCCTAGGCCAGGCACATGCCTTGAAATGTGCCTCGCCTGTGCGCCTAAGTGTGTCTTTTAACTCACCGAGGAAGGAAACCTATCAAAAAGGAGAATCAAATCAGAATTCTATGAATCACTTCTTTGACTAGTACACTTATTGACTAATATTTCTATTTCATGTGCCTCGACTGTGTGCCTAGGAACGCCTTTTAAATCACTGAGGAAGGAAACCTATCAAAAAGGGGGAATCAAATCAAAATTCTAAGCATCACTTTTTTGCCTAGTACAATTGGTTGTTACCATGGTTTAAAACATACACATATTTCCTAATATTTCAATTATTTCTGTAGGTACAGAAAATATTATTGGAAAATAAATATTCCCCAATGAAAACTATTGGCACTATGAGTAAAAGAGATAGTATTGTAACATAAGTTGGTAACAATATTATAGATATGTGGAGTAGCAGTAATTGTTATATTATTGCCTGCCTAAAGAGCATTATTACAACATTGAGCTAGCTCAAAATTCTTTACAAACATTAAGGGTGTCACTGATAAAAGCTGAAGATGCTTAACTGAAAAGCTTACCACTTTGCCTTTTAGTGATTAGTGAATAAGATCTTAAGAAGGTTGTGGGCTCCAAAATGGCCAAAACTGAAGTTGGGTAGACCACTATATCTTCGAAAATTTTATTATTTAATTATTTTAACAACTAAAAGACAAAACAATAAGTTAAATTTTAGTCTTTGTTTGTGTAATAGATTATTTGTTTGATCTATTAGAATCATTTGCACTTTCTATGAGTTCAACTTTTCCTTCAACTCATTCTATCATGTAGGTTTCACTCTTAAAATTTACAGGAGTACAGGACAACTTTGCTACATATAATTTATCAATTAACCCTACTTTCTTAGCATTTTTTGATGGTTTGAAACAAGATAATAATTTGAAAGGGTATACCTATGATTCTTTTATCATTTCATAAAATATCATTGTATCTTCTCACATATTTCACAATGTTTCCACAATGTGTATGATTATTACAATATTTCCATACAACATTTCCAGCATTTTCAGAGTATTCCCACGAACGCCAAGTGGGAATAATTTAAACGGGTTTCGATGAATGATATTTCCACTGGCACCAACATTTAAACCTTGGTTACAGCAAACAGAGAAAGCCATTCATTGTTTCTCTTCCTAGAAAGCATAGTTTTCAAGGCACCAAGGCGAGGCTAGGCAACAGGGGGGCGCCTTGTCGTCTAGTTGCCTAGAAGTAAAAACATGTATCCTAGGGTAGTTCCCTAGGTTCCATAATCATATTTCCTTAATAAATATCCATAATTTTCATAAGAAAAGTATAAACTTCATGTTGAAGTACAGAAAATCAACATTCATGAGAACAAAAAGAAGAAAGAAAAGAAAATTCAAAAAATATAGGGACTGAACCCCTATTTCTGCTAGAGGAAAAGAAGAAAAGAAAAAGTGGAAGAAGAAGAAGAAGAAGAAGAAATTAGTATATAAACACACAAAATTAGCAAAGAAAAAAAAGAAAATGTGTTGATTGGACAACATTTTAAGTTCTTCCTTATTTATTGATTCAGGTTTTGAAGCCTTTGAGGGTTCGATACAGCATTCAGCAATGTTTGTACTGGTTAAACCCTAACAAATAAGAAAATAATAAAAAGAAATTAGTATATAAAGACACAAAATGAATAGTTTAGTTTAAAAACGTCTATTACTCTATTTTATAATAATGACCTCCAAAATTTAAGAATATAAAACTTTTTTATAACACGCTATAGAAAAATGTTTGGTAATTAGGCGAGGCGAGCCTCCAAGGGCGCCTTGTCACCTAGGCATCACCTTGACAACTATGCTAAAAGTTGCCGTATTTGTTCAAAACTTCTAAGCTAATGGATTATAGTGCTAAAAGCACCCAAGTCATGTCTTTTACCAAAACCAAGACAAAAAGAAAGCAATATAAGAGGAACAAAAATGAGGAATTCAAAAAACTTTGATTAATGAGAACAAGCTTAAAATGGAATATACCAATTTATTAGCAATGGCCTGTAAATCTATTCTTGGGACTAGCTTCACTGTAACCCTCTGCCGAACATTATCCACATCTACAACCTATGCAGAAGAAGTAATTTAAGTTAGGAAATTAGAAAGAAAAAGTTGCATGTAAGTCCAACTGTATGATAAAATGTGTCAAAGTTGAAATACAATACCTTTGCAAGATCTCCTTTATAAGTCCCGATCTTCATCCGGACCCATGTATCTCTAGAAAGATCAATTGCTTTGCTTTCGACTGAAAGAACATCAGTCATTTCCTTAATTGGAACAAGCATTACTTTTGCAGAATATATATTACGCATACCCTTGCAAGCCTGAAGCAGAGAAATAAATAAGTAGCTGAGAAACAAGTTCTTGAATCTTGAACAATCATTTCCGAATTCAGACATGCATGTAGTGGTTATTCTATACCTCTCGGACATGGGCTTCTTTGTCTGCTTCAATATATATGTAGTTCTTTAGATGATCAAGTGCAATTGCTGACCTAATCTGCAACTCAGATCCTTTATCAATGAACTTCTGCATTAAGCAAACAGCAACCTCCCGCTCACGACCAATCTGATATAAACAAGAAAATGTTATTAGAAGAAGTATTTCTCATAAAAATACAGCATCAAGAACACATTATGGGAAACCAACATACCGCGCATTTAACCATCCACAATTTGGGATCCTTAACTGATGGCAAAAGAGCTTGTTGTTCAACATCTGTCGTCTCTTCATCATATTCTGTGTGGCTTGATCTTGCATATCGTTCCTGAATTCTTCTTTCAAGAGCTTCAAAATCCTCTTGGTCATCTTCTCGTGGTAGTAAAGGGCGCCGACGCATCCTTCTTCCCTCCTCTTCATCTTGTAACTCCGCACCAGTTTCAACTATAAAGTCTGCATGTCAAGTTCATAATCCATCAGCAACGCATGAAAAATGCAGGTTAGGGGCCAACCTGCAAGTGAGATAATTATAACCAATAGTGATAGCAACCAATTATAATCAATGGTGATAGCCACCATTCAAACCAAAATTAAAAATGAAAAGAAACAAATCAAACAAAATTTTATATGCCATGGTATTTGCAATAAGCACAAACCAATCCTCAAGAACCAATCACCATAGCTCAAGTTCTGAATGTATAGAAGAAAAGATGGGAAAAGGAAATATGGTGGACAAAGAAAAGCTACAAGAATCCCATTCTTACATTATGAGGAAGAAGTTAAGTTATTTGTGAAGTACCTAGCGCAAGGAATAAAAATTTTAAATTGGTAAACACTGCCGACTTCAAATTAAGACACACAATGCAGTTTCTTTTAACTTCCCATCAAACCAATAACCTAAAATAAAAACCAAAGCACCAAGAAAAGATGACTGGAAAATAAAATTTTCATCACAACATTTTAAAAACTCAATTTAAACTCGAAAACTTCCATAGTCAAGTTTACTATTTATTTCACTGATATACAAGTTAGAACTTAGATGCCCACTACTGTAATAGAATCAACTAACTAAGAAATTGAGTAACTATGTAGTATCAGATCCCAAAGAAAGTTAACCACTTTCTACCTTATCAGTATAAACTCTATTTGAAGTATTCTATATGAAGTTCTGAGCCAATGGGACACCAAAAGAATTGACTACTAAGCCATGTGAAGTAGGAAACTATCAAGTTTTAAAAGAAATGAATTTATTAAATTACTCTAAAAGGGGAGCTCATCCAAATGAAGGAAGATAATTTGGTTTTTCTTTTCTTTTTTTCAATAAAACGTTAGATATACTTTTTGATCAAAAAATATTAGATATACTCATTAGGAAAACCACCCTTTATGTAAATAAAACACTTTCTAATCCTGGATCTAACAAGAGATCTGGCTAGTCCGAGGCTTTGAGATTCTATAAGCATGCAGTTAAGAATTGCCAAGAGAATTCCCTTTTTTGTGTCACGCTGAACCAGAAATGCAAGTTCGCTCTCTAAAATTTAGCAAGAATAAAATCGGATTCTCTCAAATGAAATTAATGGAAAGATGAAGGATCCTCTAACACAAATAAAATGCAAGTGTGTAAATGTGGATAGACTCAACTAACGTGAATATCTTGGGGGAAAAAAGAAATTAACAGAGTTTCAAGCCTAGTTGAATTCAGTTACACATCTAAAGTGCACCAAGTCCTAACCTTCTTAGCCCTAAAACCAACGAATTCACGAAAAAATGATAGTATAACCTTCAGTTTTGTCAAATTGATAAATGCAATAGAAAGCACAACAAAAGAAAAAGTAAAATAACAAATTCAATTTACAAATCGAACCCAAGTCAAATCAGAAAAGCTTATAAACGGTGCAACAAATTCATCATACCATCTTCACCTTCTTTAACAAATTCAGTTGCAAACAGAACTCAAGTCGAACCAGAAAAGTTTATAAACGATGCAATAAATTCAACATACCATCTTCGCCTTCTTCCTCATCCTCTTCCTCGTCACTATCGACTGCAGCTTCAAGCTCGAAGAACTCAGAGCCAGTCCGTCTCCTTTGCTTGTGGCTACGATGACCACCATCGAAGTCATCCTCTTCGTCATCCTCATCCTCCTCTTCGTCGTCTTCCTCGGCTACATCGTCAATAAACTCGGATCTTCGGCGCTTTTTGCTAGAACCACCACGACCTCCTCCATCGTCGTAATCTTCCTCATCTTCTAGTTCTTCTTCGTCTTCCTGCTCGTCCTCTGGGTCTAGTTCATCGTCATCATCACGCCTGCGAGGCATGGTTGCAGAGAGCTCTTCTAGAACTTCTAACCTCTAGGCCTAATCTCAAGCTTGGTTCCGCTGTGTCGGCTCCGCTATGTTTATCCGCAGTTTCGCCAAAACCAACCGGAAAAGAACAAATTCGAAAAGGAAGCTCAGCGAGGAGATTAGGGTGTTTAGGGTTTTCTCAATTGAGAAACCCAAGAAATTTATAGACTACGAGAGATGCACAAAGAACAGAGCTTTTCAATAACCAAGAAAACTAATCTGAAAATTTTCTGCAGATTCGAACACTTGAACCCTAATTTGGATCAGTTTCATCTCCCGTCAAAAGGAGAAGGAAGAAGATGGAGAGAGAAAGGGTAGGTGTTTAAACGTAGGGCTGAAGAGGATCGGTCTTTCCAGAGGGCCGAGTTTAGCCCAAGCTTAACCCGTCAGCTAAAATTAGCCCAAGCCCAAATACTATTAATGGGCTGAATTATAAGGATTATCTCAGCCAACAATTAACTGTTAAAGCTCATAAACAAACCTACTCTTGAGTCTTGACAGAAGGTGATGTTATAAGTTCTAGTTCTACTAAGGAGTTAGATCTGCTCACAACAAAAGTTGTACCAACATGACTCACCATGATCTTTGTCCGCAAATCTTATCATGAGACTGAGACCCACCATGTCTGTTATGTGTAGATACAGATGAGTTCAGATCTTCTACCAACCAAACCTTTTCTTTTTTTTTTTGGTAAGCAGATGCAGCCTCCTAGAGTTAACAAATCATCTTATATTTTGCCTTCGAATTGATTCATATATCTAACATTGCTCTTAAAACCTTTAGGCTTAGTTTGGAAAGAGTACAAATACAAATAAATATAGTACAAATGCATATAAAATAATACGAAATATAAAGTTTTGCACTCTACATAGTTGCATTTGTAATCTTTCCAAACTGAGCCTTAGAAACCATTCAAAATCCCTTGAGAACCCATTACAAATCTCCATACAAAGGCATTAATGGATTAAGAAAAGCTTCAGATTGGAAATGTACAATTCAACCCTTGAAGGGTATCCTCAACATTTTACAAAATAAATATTAGAGAATACCATATGTAAAAGAAACCATTATTGTTAGGTTAAACATAAGTTTTTCATTAAAAGATTAAAAATTTTCTGATTTTTTTTTTGTAAATTTTTATTAAGTTCGAATCTTAAGGGTATTTCTAAAATTTTATAAGTTAAATAATATTTTTCTACCATTCAATCGATTTTTTATGATTTCAACTAATGTGAGGGCATGTGCATGCAAATTTGGGTAAATATATGTTAACAATATGCTATCAAATATAGTTTTTATCACATGCACCAAAAAGGTAAGTATCCACTTTATAATAGTACTAGTCAGGACCCGTGTGATGCACGAGCTTTATTTATAAGCAAAATTGAAGATGGGGTTTTATGACATTTCCAATTAAGTGGTGCCCATATAAGTTCAATTCAAGTATGATCTTTTGGGTTATTTCTAGTTTATCCAATCACAATCTAAATTGGCTTTAGTGAGAGTGGCAAATTTCCTATTCTCTAGATAAATTTGTATTTTTTTTATTGGATTATTATTATTGTATTATTTATATGTAATTATAAAAGTGCATCCTCTTATAAACAATTCTATAAACCACCATTGTGCTTTGACCCTAACAAAGGCCTCCCTTAAGTTTTGAGAAAGAAGTGCAAATACCTCATTTCGCATGGCTTTTCAGTAACAAATACATTGAAGTTAACAAATACATTGAAGTTACGAGGAGTGGATGGTAAAAACCACTTATTTTTATTAAATTAATAAAAATAATTAATATTTTTTATTTTATTTATGTAACTTACTAAATTATTTTATTATGGTTAATTAATTTTTATTATTTTTAAATGAAAGTAAATTATTTAATGCAATAATATGTCATTGAATATCTCGATTTCAATATAATTAATATTTACTAATAATTACTATACAAATATATCTAATACATATATATATATATATATATATATATATATATATATATATATATATATTTATATATATATATATATATACTCAAAGATATAGATAAGGTTAATGAATTTTATGCAATTTAATGAGTTATTGAAGGAGAGAATTAATGGAACAATTAATAAGGAGAGATTATTAAAAGAGTTAATGGGGGAGAGAGAGAGAGAGAGATAATGGTGAGTGCTAAAAATCTTAAAGGTGAATGGTTATTTGAGTTATTTTGTTCAATTTAAAATTTTGAAAATGCAAAAAAAAAATAACCGAACAAAAATATAAGTGCCTTTGAAAAGAAACTAGGGGAAAAAAAGATAAATGCCTTTAAGAATAAAACAAAAAACAAGGAAGTGATAGATTGGCACATTCCATTTTAATATATAGATATAGAAGATATACATAGATGTTTGATCAATATCAATAAATCCAAATTCAGGTGTAGCATTCTCAAACCAACAAGTGAAGCTTTGGGAAGGGATCAAAGGGCAAAAAGTATGGTTCGAATAAACCAATTGACCTACCAATCCATGGGAAAGAGATTAGCACCATTAAACATTAACAGTCCATTTGGTTGCTAAGAAGGGATGGGATGAGAAGGGAAAATTTATTTTCTCATTTTGACATTCTGGTGTTTGATTGCTGAGAAGGGAAATTATTGTTCATCATCTTCATTCGAACTCAAACCAGTGGCATGGACGAGGTGAGTTTTAGTCTCCCCTCATCTCTCTCTCTCTTCTTTTTCCTCCTATCCCTCTTTCTTATTTTTTCCATCTTCTTCTTCATCTTTTTCTTCGCTTGCCACTGCTACTTGAACTAGCAACTGGCGTGAATGCAAAGAAGATAACAAATCCCATGAACAAGCATGATTGGAAAAGCAAGTTGAAAGAGAAAAAAGCTTACTATGACATGAATACTCTTTTACTAAAACCCTCACAAGGCTCAGCTATTGTTTGGCAGAGGGTTTCACTCCGGCATGGACCGTTGTGAGCAGAAAAAGCTTGCTGCATGTGAAAAATGAGAAAAAAATGCGAGAGGAAATATGAAGAAAAGAGGGTCTGGAAAAGAAATCAGAGGAGACCGCTGCACGTGTGGTTTCCTTTATCACTGGAGTCGCACCGTTTTAGTGCAACCCCACGTTCCAAGTTTTGGGAAACGGAATCACTCTATTTCTCAATCCGTCTCACAAAACAAATGAATGAATATGAAAATCTAAGAAAAATATTCCCATTTTCTCTTATCAATCGCACCAATCAAATAGACTGTAAACATAATCAATTAACCTACCAAACCATGGGGACAAGATTAGCATCGTCAAACATTAAACACAAGATAAAGTATAAATCTATAATACATACACTATAATGTCAATACCTATTTTGGTTTCTCTATAAACTATAAAATTAAATCAATGTATTTTAATAACATCACATCGTTACACATATCATCATATATGTCCTTAAATAAATGACTTCAAACAAAAAGGCATTTCACTTAAAAAACATGACTAGCTCCTATCAAGAAAAAAAAGGATAATTAGATAAAAAAGTTGCCTCGTATCTTTTAGGAGTGTTTTATAACATCTATAAGCAGGTAACGATTTACTACTTTGTCATTTAGTAGATAAAACAATTAAAATATAGAATATTTGAGATTGATCAACAAATTTTAACTTATATTAATAAAGAGCTCACAACCTATTTAATAATATATTTGCTAAAAAATAAAGCAATAAAACATTCAATTAAACCATCTTAGTTGTTATTAAATGGCCCCTTAGCAGCCCAATTGCTTACTCAATATGTTGTTAAGCATGATACCTCAATGACCTCATCTCTTATTCCAGATGATACATTTGATATGCATGAAATGTGTATTAGGTGTTTCAAGATACGAAATACTATTTGATGTAGGGTGATTTGGCCCGACCTTATAGCACGGGGACATGTGGACATGACCTGGCATAAGTGACAATTTAGCGTGACAGCTTGGCTATCACTTGGTGCAGCAAGTTCGTCGAGGCCCGGCCAAACGATTCGGCGGGTGTGACAGCTCGTCGAGAAGCAAGGCCCAGCTCGCCCCGAACCTAAGGGTGGAGCACCCTAAGCTCCCCCATGCAAAGGGACCCGAGCTCCTCCTAAGGGATCCCGAGATCTCCCTTCCTAAGAAGGAAGCACCCCAACTTTTGGCTGTCCTGAGAGAGAAACACCTTGGGACAGCACCATCGAGACTCCTGCTCGTACTTGCTTAAGGCTCGCCTCCAGTGCAGGCACCTCGGTGCAAGGCAAACCTGCCCCAGGTGGTTCGGTGCATAGTAGCTCGGCAAACTACAAGGAGATCTGCCTGACATCCGTACCTGCCGGATCCGGTGGCAGTGCTCGAATCCCTTGCCAGGTGGCGCTCTGCCTGCCGTCTCTGAAAGGCATGGCACGCCTGACGAGTCTGTGCCCTGCAATAGCAGCCTACAGTAGCAGCCCGCACCTGCCACCCCTGCCCTGTCAGTAACGGCTAGAGCAGTGGTAGTTACGCCTGATGTGACCGAGCTCCGGTATAAAAGGACCTCGACCCTCACAAAGCAAAGGTATTGAAGCTTAAGCACTTTCAACACTCTTACTCTTTGTTCTTCCTTTGAGATATCTCCAGATCTAACTTATCCATCGGAGTGTTCCCACCGGGAGAGCTCCCCGGGAATCCTTCACCTTCTTCGTCCTCTCAGGTGCCGCCCGTCCCAGCTAGAAGCCAAGTCACAGCCAGCTAGGAGTGCCCAAATTGTGCAGCACCATTTGGTGCCGTTTGTGGGAAACACATCAAAAAGCCTCTAACTTCTGTGAAACTTCCCTCTCATTAACTCATCGGCACCACCGATATCCATGGCTTCTTCCACCAACTCCGGATGTTGAAACACCCCAGAGGAGCAACTCCAACTGCCCACCATTTGCATCGGGCAGTTCACCGTCCCCCTCTCTGTGGACGGGATTCCTAGCCTAAACGTGCCTACGACGGTGGCACCTGTGACTGTTCCGCTGCCCCCTGCAGTCGGGACGACTTTCGCTAAACCCACCATCCTCCCTCTGGTGGCTAGCCAATATCAACTTGAAGACCTGACGCAGTGCATACAGGCCATGCAAGCCCAGATGCAATAGTTTCAACAACAACTTCAGTTCCACCAGCAGCAAGTGCTGCACCAAGTGTCCCAGTATCAATACCAGCAACAATTCCCATCACTCCCGCCCCGGCATCCGGCTACACAACCAACTAAGCCTCATCGCCGCAATGAACTCCCTTCCCGTCGGGGAGAGACTTTGGCATCATCTCATGGAAGGAAGGGAAGACTTCCTACCCCCGCCACGCGGCCCGCAGTCAGGTCGGGGGCTTCCCAGCCGGTTAGGCCGGCGTCACCTCAGCATTTGCAGTTC